CCCTGAGTTCCCTCCCACACATCCAAACTGCTGCTGCTGCCCAACTTGGGCAGCCCCTGAGCCAGTACTGGCCACTGCAGAAATTACCACAGAAAGTCCTGGAAACCGTGATCTCCATGACAGACACGCAGCCTTATTCGTAGCATCATAGTTTCAGCAGTTTTTGCTTTTCAAATAAAATGCACCAACATAGTCTTGGGGGTCTGTGAGACCCCAGATAACATTTGCCTTATGTATTGTTACAATTGTCCAGCAAAGTGAGTTAAGAGAACACTGTCAAACTGATTTTCTGGGAAGCTTACTCTTGTTAGGAAGAGTTTCTGGGGAAGCCACAATTGCCAGATACATTTTCTGGCAGCACACACTTGACAGATGCTGTAGCTGTGGCAAAGACTCGCTGTTACTGGGACAAAGACTGGTATTGAACATGCACATTGCATGTCTGAATGCATATATTGTTTGGATTTTGTTGAACCACAACTGGTATAATAAATCTTTGCGTAAGAGACGGATGTTTCTCAGGGTACAGAGATAGTGAAACTACTGGTGCAGGAAAGGAACACTGCAGTCTTGCCTCAGGCTACTAGGGAAGCCGTGTCTAGTGTGCTGGGTACTGATCCAAAGCCTGAGAAATGGGGAAGATGTTACATCTGTTCCAGAAAAATACATCAAAAATGTGCAACGACTAAAAACTTTGTATGTTCAGAACATATTTCACCTACTTGCTCCATTCATTCAAAGTAATAGGACATTTCCTGCCTGTGTGCTCCTTTTGTGCCTTTTATATTGTTTCTGTCTCTAACTATTTTCATTGTCTAACCATGAGGTCAGTTAGAGCCCCAACACAATTCTGTGCAGTGTACTTCTGAATCTAGAAAAGTTTTAACTTGTTCATTGTTTTATAGTTCACTGGTTACAATAAAGCTAGATTTAAATGATTCACGTGTTTTTTTTCCAATTTTGACGTAGTAGGAGTCTCCAAGACCCCAATACAGAAATAGCTGGGTGGTGTTCAGTCCAATACGAGGGTTAAAAGCATCTTAAAATACAGTAAACCTTTTTCGTAATATTTAAACCATGTAACCCTTTTTAAGAAACCAATATTTGAGAATGGGAATGATTGCTCACTGCTTTCTATTCTTTCCCTGAGCCTTTACTGCAGATTACCTACCTACCTGAGTCAACCTACCATTATTTGACAGGATATTATAGGTTCCTTTAAAAAGCAAGGAGGAATTATTTTAGATTTTTATATATTGCAGTGACAGAACTGTGAAAGGTGGTGTTTCATCTGCTTGCAGTTCACCTCCAGCAACCGTAGAATACCGATGAATAGAATACTCTTAGGGTATGTCTACACTACCCATAGTGATCGATCCCCGATCGCTGTGCCGTCAACTCTAGAACTCCACCGCGGCGAGAGGCGGAAGCGGAGTCGACGGGGGGAGCAGCAGGGGTCGACTCGCTGCTGTCCTCACGGCCAGGTAAATCGACCTAAGATACGCTGACTTCAGCTACGCTATTCGCGTAGCTGAAGTTGCGTATCTTAGGTCAACCCCCCCACCCCTTCAGTGTAGACCTAGCCTCAGTATGGACCAAGTAATTCTGAATCTAGAAAGTGAAGTAACACACCTCTTTTAGATTTGTTTTTTAAAGTATATATATATATATATATATATATATATATATATATATATATATATATATATATATATATATATATA